GGTTGCGAAGGTCGGCCATAGGGTCGATAGTCTCCTGGAAGACTTCCTCGTCCCTTGCTCGGTCGGCCGTAGCGTCGCCTGACCTTTCCCGGTTCTCCTGAGTCTTAGGGATTGCCTTGTCGCCGCGGATACAGTTTGACCTTGTTCTTCCCATTGTCAGTTAGCTGTGTGCTTGGTAGCGAAAAAAGATGCTAACTTGATTGTTCTAGCTCTCAATGAAAGCGTCAAATGATAGAGTATTAACTCTTAGAGAAAAGGAAGAGCTAGAGAGAGAAGTGATATGTATTAATGAATTTCCAACCCTTTACATGGCTTCCATAGGAAGTATTTATAGGGAAAATATGGGCTAGGCTCCCAAGCCTTGGGCTTGGGAGACCCATTTACAATATTAGGCCTCTAATGGGCTGGATACAATAATTTGGCTAAGTATAGAAACTGCTCCTGCAGGATCTGTCTGACTGGCGGAGGAATTGGCCGACGGAGGCATTGACCGATGGAGACCCCGGACAACGAAGACATTGGCCAATGGAGGACAAGCCTTCTTCTTGTCTTCTGGACCATATTCTGGATTGGCTCTTCTTCGGCTGATGGAGAACCATCTGGCCGACTGAGGACCCACTGGGTGACAGCCGTGCTTCCTCTTAGTCTTCTGAGTAAGTGGATCGTGGGGTCTGGACCCATGTACTCCATCAATAATTTTCCTTTTTACCAACTTTTTATTATGATTACAATGGAAGATTTGATTCATAACGTAGAACAATGCTAAATGATCAAATCTATTTAAATTGTACTACCTCCGTCCCACAATGATTGTCCCATTTTACCTTATCAGTCCATCTCATTAAGATTGTCCCATACAAAACTTGATAAAATTTGTGTGGCTCTAAATCATTCTTACTTTATTCTTACTTTATCAATTCAATATTAATCACATAAACCACCTTTTATTAATTTACGTGTCACTCCCTCTTGTCCCATTGTTAGCGGGACGGAGGGAGTAGTTTAATTGACTGAACATATTGAATGATGAAAAACTTAAATTTAATTTAGAATTTGTTAGTAAAACAAAGAAAAAGTTACAAGAAAAAGTTAAAATGGGAATCTTTCAAAAAATTAGTCAAAAAATAATACATACTTAAGAGCCCGTTTGGTAGCATGAAAATTGGTTGATTTGACTGATTCTGCTGAAATTTATTAAGTTTTGGCTGCAGTGGTTGCATTAGCTGATTCTGCTGATTTAAGAAAAAAATATTTTTAAAATATATTTTATTAATAAAATAAAGAAAACATTATATATAAAAATAGCGTCCCCGGTAAGTTTTGACATTATTATATAAAAGATTAAATTTATGACATTTCTCTCTCCTTCTGTCCACGGTCTTATGTGCTTTTGGTAAGTTTTTCTCAACAACGTTGACCACAATGTCTACATCTAGACATTATGATTACATTATAGAGAAAAACTTACCAAAAACATATAAGACTTTCAAACAAGGAGAGAGATATTCGATTTGTTGTTTTTTAATTGGCTATCTCTAATGCCACGTATACACCGTTCATGTTTTTGCATTGGAGATACTCTAAAACTATTCGAGTGAATCGCAATGCATCAAAATTTAATAATCTTATTATTGTAAATTTGATCTAGCTCACAACTTTCTTTTTAAATCTTATCTTATTTTTTAATCTTATCTTATTTTTAATCGTATCTTATTTTAGTCAAGTTAATTGACTAAATTTGTAATAATATATTTTTTATCATGAAAATCAAAAGGCCTTTTTGCCTGAATATTACTAAAAAAAAGATAAAAGACAAAAATGTGACATCTTTTTTTAAAATTCCAAAAATATGACCATGGGGACGAGCGTCCCCTTAAAGATTGCCTTCTGCGTTCCGCCTAGCCTCAAGTGGGCTGGTGTTATGAGGCCGAGCGTCCCCTTTGGGGACGGACCTCACCCCCACCTTGGGTTGTCTCGCACATAGCCGCCCCAAATTGAATGGGCTTCGGAGACGTACGTACCCATATCTCTGGGGACGTTCGTAGGAAGAGATCAATTTTTTGGAAAATCCTAAAGTGATCATATGTTTGGAATTAGAAACTTGTGGGGTTATATCGACGCCATTATTTCAAATCAAAACACTGTGTCACTATAACACTTTTAAGAAGACACATGTTCCCTCAATATTAATATTGTGCGGGACCGGCCCGGTTCTCGGGTCCGGGTCGGGCCTAGGCCCGGGGGGTAGGGCGGGTTCGAGCTCGGGTCTCATATTTGGCGAACCGGCCCGGGCCAAATTGATTTTTTTTTTTCATTTTTGAGATTCCACCCGGGTTAGGCTTGATGGTTAGGATGGGTTTGGGGGGTTTGGGAGGGTGGGGGTGAGGGGGTGGGGGTTAGGAAAGCGCAAAAAAAAATACCCAAACCGGAGGCCCGACCCGGACTGGAGACGGTGGCTACCCGGGCCTGTCCCGGGTCCAGCATTCCTGAACCACCGGCCCGAACCCGGGTTCCTGAACCACTAGCACGGTAGCAGGAGTATTATTTTAGATTGAACTCCATATTTGATCCCGCAATAGTATGAGCACAAATTAGCCTTTTTGATATTTATTAAAACTTGGAGTTTTATCTAAAGGCCCCCATAGGAAGACCCCTAGGCCTAACGCGGCATAGCGCCCAACTACCGGATTTAATGTCGCGCCATATGCCGACGCCCTCATCATGGGGGCTCTTCTTCATAGAATAGTTTACACTAGGGGTGGACTCTGGCTGGGCCAACCAGCCCAGAACCGGACCGGCCCGGCCCGCTACTGTGCGGGCCCAGACCGGCCCGCTACTGTGCGGGCCCAGACCGGCCCGCTACTGTGCGGGCCCAGACCGGCCCGCTACTGTGCGGGCCCAGACCGGCCCGGTGAACCGGTTGGTGCCCGGTTCGGGCCACCCGGTTCGGGCCACCCGGCCCGGTGAGGTAGGCGGGCCGGGCCTCCTAATCGTGAACCGGCCCGGCCGGTTCAGGCCCGATCCGGGCCAATTTGTTTTTTGAATTTTTTTTATGTTTTTGGGTTGGGCTGGGTATGATGGGCCATTTGAGGTGGTTTGGGGTGGTTTGGGGGTGAGGGGGGAGGGTTGGGGGTTAATTAAGAAAAGCCAAAAAAAAAAATAAGAACCGAGGCCCGCCTGGCCCGGACCCGGGGGTTACCCGGGCCGGTTCCGGGCCTCCCCTTTCATGAACCGAGGCTCGGCCGGGCCCGAACCGGAACCGGTCCATCCCTAGTTTACACTGTTACACGTATATGTGCATTTAACTCACCTAGCATTTACGACTAGTTTAGGGAAGTATATGTTTTATGTTAAGGCCAACATCCTGAAACTGTGATGAGTTTCGAACATGTGACCTCCTTCTTGGGAGTGTCACAGTTATGCCATCAGACCACAAAATACTTGATCTCACGCACACCAAATTTAAAAATGCGTTAACTATTAGAGTAAAAAATTATCAAAAAAAAATATTTGTACCAGGCCGATCCGGTGCTTTGGCTACACCGCTCCATGTAGGGGTGGTTCGGTACGGTATACCGAATATTTTCTGTCATACCTTTACCATACCGAAACTTTCGGTATACAAAATTTATATACCGTTACCTTACCGAAGTTTCGGTATACCACATTTCGGTATACCAAAGTTTCGGTTCTGTAACGGTACGGTATCGGTAAATTACCATGCATGTCCCCCAATTCAAAAAATTATCATAGACTAACAAAATATAGTAAATCGGTGTACTAACGACATATTTAATCCATTATTAAAATGTTACAAAATACAATTAATAATCTATTGATGTCATATTCAATATTGAACAATTATTATTATTAGTATATTTAAGCATTTCAGCATATTTAAATAACTTGAGCAATATAGATATAATTAAATGAATAATGATCACTACCAAAAATAAATAAAATTATTCAAACAACGTGGATATAAAATCATTTATCCATAATATGATATTGTGTATTTAGTCTTTTTTATAATTTTAAATAAAATATTTGAATAAGACTTTCGGACAAAGTTATGTGCCTCGACTTGCGGAATCTCTATGTCAATACACTCGTCACATAAGTGTATCCCTCTTCACTCGTCAGCTACTCAGCGGTCAGCGACTCAGTTATCGCGACTCGCAAGCTTATGGAACAAGATGGACTGGTCTAGACATTAGTACATTACTCATTAGTCATTAGGATTTGTTTGTTTGAATGTTGCGTAGTAGAAGCCTAGAAGGTTATAGTGGATTTGGGAAATCGGGGCTTTATTTTTGTATTTTAGTATTTGTAATCAACATAAGTATTAATTTTGGGCTTCAAACTTGTAATGGATTTTTATAATATTTTAGAATTTATAGTAATCGTTGGGTGGGAGTCGGTACAGTATTATACCGGTATACTGCTGTATTTGAAAACATTTACCGTTATCGTACCGAAATATATCGGTACGGTATCATACCGTACCGAAAATGACGGTATACCAATATTCCGGTATTTTCCAGTATTTTTCGGTACGGTAAGTGCGATATACCGATTTGCCGGTATTCTTGCCCACCCCTAGCTCCATGCCTCCATCTGAGCCTCTCAACGTTCCACAAAACTGACAGATTTGAATTTAATTTTCAGAACAAAATTTGTTTCCGGAATTGGCAAAAAATTCAAAAAATTTACTAAGTCGCGGTTGAATTAGCAACTTTTTAAAAATGGTCAAAAACTCAAAATAGAAACACATAATTTAGAGATGGCAAGGCTCACGAAAACAAATCACCAAGGATTGGATTTTTAAAAAAAATCACCAAGGATCGGATTTTTTTACTTTTAATTTACCATTAGACCTTTTCCAAGAGACCGAATCATCGAACTTGTGAAGAAAGATTGTTTCAATTTTCAATAAAAAAAATTGAAATAATTTAAAGATAAAGTGTTTAGCACGTAGGCAGGCACCCTACATCACTTTTCGCATCTTCTCTTTTTGTTTTCCCATCATAAAAAAATCAAATAAACTGAAGCTTTACACATTAGCTAGGGCGTGATTGATCAGGTTCTTTGAGGTTCTTATTTTTTTTGTGTGCGTGTGTGTGAGGTTTATATATAGATAGATAGAGAGAGGGATTTGGAGGGAATTTGAAGTGAGAGAATGATGGCCTCAGGTGGTGCTACAGTTGCTTTGCCGCCGGGCTTTCGGTTTCACCCGACAGACGAAGAACTCGTCGCTTACTATCTTAAACGAAAGATCAATGGCCGAATTATTGAACTTGATGTCATCCCTGAAGTTGATCTCTACAAATGTGAGCCCTGGGAGTTGCCAGGTACCAACCTTTATCTCTACCCATCTATCTTGGAGCTGTTATACATTGAAAAAATTATAGATTCATGTTAGGCAGGGCTGATTTTGCTGAAGTCATGCCTGCAAAAGTTGAATTTCATGAATGAGACCTAAAACTTTGGAAATATGCAGCGTGTTTTCTTAGTAATTTAAATAAAAAAACAATCGTCAAGATCCTTGGGTATGTTTTATTTAGTGAGTTTCTACTACAGAAATTGAATTATATAAGCAATGTTTATATATTGAATGACTAATAGTGAGTTTGACTATGAATCAATCATCTCTGATATTGAATTAGAGCATGTATGGTTGTATGCTACACCAATCATAATCCCCTACCAACATGATAAGTAGATAAAAAGAACAGCCGCAAAAAAAGAAAAAGGAAAAGAAAAGAAAAAAGAAATAAAGGGGCGAGAAACACGCATAAAAGATGAAAGAACAACAAAAGAAAAAGGAATCAAAGATGGACCAACAAAGAAGAAATCTAACATGGAAAAAAAGAATATAATTAAGTGTTCATATTTAGGAGTATATTTTATTCATTAGTCATCAGCTATGTTGCAAGGAGATGTGAGAATAGCCAATAGACATAGGAAATGTCTATCTTTTACTAGTAATACTGTAATACACAAAAAACTTTTTGGAGAATTATGTCCTTCATGGCTTATCAACCATAACTTGAATACCAAATAAACAATGGTCATATTTCAAGGTAAAAAGTGCCTAAGTTTTGATTATTATCATCATTATTGTTGTGTGGCAGGGAAGGCATTGTTGGCCAGCAAAGACCTGGAGTGGTATTTCTTCAGTCCTCGAGATCGAAAATACCCAAACGGGTCAAGGACGAACCGGGCAACGAAAGCCGGATATTGGAAGGCAACAGGGAAGGACAGGAAGGTAAATTCAGATATGCGGGCGGTGGGGATGAAGAAAACCCTAGTCTATCACAGAGGGAGAGCTCCCCATGGAGCTCGAACGGATTGGATCATGCACGAATACCGCTTAGAGGAAAGGGAATGTGAAACCCGGTCGGGCTTGCAAGACGCCTATGCGCTTTGCCGTGTGCTTAAGAGAAACATAAATGGCTCGGAAATCGGAGAGAATTACCCTATCTCCGCCGCCGGTAGTGAAGGTCAGACGTCGAGCTCAGCCTACGCAATGGCGACGCCATCTTCATCCATGTCTGTCTCAAATGACGGATCTGGAATCGGTTATCCTGCAACGTTCCAGGATCTCTTCGCGCTACCATCTCTCGAAGTTCCAGATTTCACTCAATCGGGCTATCTCCAGTCCCAGATGCAGCAGCCGAGCTACGTTTCTGAAGACGTAAATCATCGAACAGTTGGTGCGCATGACTGTATAAACCAGATAAACGCATCAGATTACAGTGACGAGTTCGCATTCTTTCCTCAGAACGAGAGATTTCAAAACACAGGTTCTTCTGGATATGTTATGGAAGAATGGCGGGGTGATGATAACCAAAATATTGAGGAATTTGGAGATGAATTCAGTTGGGATAGAATGGGTGAGAACATAAGATGGGTAGATATGTTAGACCAAGAGACTTTGAGAAGGTAACAAAATTGGACTATACAACATATATAGCCCATTTTTCACTTCAATCTAACAGTAATAGGTTTTATTGATCAAGTGACCTGTACAGTTCTGCAATACCCCTCCCCAAAATTCTCAACTGTTACCTTCATAATTTGTATTGTAATTACACACAGGTAATTCAACTTTAAATTGAATAAATACAGTTTAAAAACTAATTTATTTGAGATAATTATTAGGGAGACTTTGAGTTTGCACTCAATATTTTGGATGATATTTGACTTTGCACCTCATCTTTAAAATCATTAATGTATGCACCTCATTAGCCCAAAAATTATGAAGGAGTAGACTGCAAAGTCAAATGATTTTATAGTGAATTGGGGTGCATACATTGATGATTTTTAAAATATGGTGCAAAGTCAAATATCACCCAAAACATGAGGTCCAAAGTCAAATTATCTCTAATTATTACATGTGTATAAAAAAGTTGACCACCTATAAGTTCAGCAAAGTGATTTGTTCCATTTAAGTTATTGTTTGTTGATATAAAGTTGATTGATTATGTACTAGTCTAATTGATCAATTATAATATCGATAATGCATCATAGAGAAGTCATATGAATGAAGTTTCATCACAACAAATTATAAAGGTTGTCAAATGAATTTTTCAAATGAATTTGAAAGGTTATGTTCTAGATATATATTAGGGCTTGTTTGGTAGTTTACATGTTAAATTTACATGTGAAATGGTTACATGTAAAGTTTAGAGAAACAATTACTTTGTATGTAAAATAGATTGTATTGTTTGCCTAAATATTTAATTTATTTTTAAGTTGCACGTAAAATCGTTGTAATAGTGTTTTTTTAAACCCAGTAAGTAAACCACCAAAATCAGTGGGGTAAATGCCAAGGAACATTTACCAAATTTTATAGCCACTCACAAAGCAAAATACACTTGGGGGGGCTTAATACCAAACCCATAACAAAATGAAATTAAATTACATAAGGAATAGATAAGAAATCCATAACAATAGCTCCCTTAAGCTGTTGAGGTAATTCTTCCCCTTTCTTCCAATGAAATGAATTCTGTAGGCCCAAACGAGCCACCAAAAATGCTGCCTTGTTCACATGGGCCGGAATTTCCGAAAAATAAAGCAGCCCAAACCGATCAGAATAAATTCGTCCAACCTCCCTCATTCTAGAAAAATCTGATTCAATCTCCACTTTAGGAAAGCGCAGAGTCACCAACCAGTCCACCGCCCTCTCTAGCGCTTCCTCTTCCAAATTGGCCGAGCCACTCAACGGAAACCCCTCCGCTGCCACTGCTTCACCTTCATGGTCGTGAAGAAGAAAATCGGCTGAAGATTTACCCGTTCCCCTAAACACCGCCTAGTTAAGCTTCACATGAGTTGCCTGAGGTTTCACCCACCGGAAGATCTGAGGCCTCCTTCTCCGAAAAGAGCTAGGTAAGATCCCTAGATTTTTTTATCTCTCATGCCCTTTTATATTATCATTTGCATAGCACCAGGATAACATGAAGCTATTAATTTATTTAATCAAACGGTCCTGCTGGTATTCCGTCCCAGTCCAATAACAGTCCCAGTAAGCCTTCCACAAGTGCCACACAACAACTCCAGGTAAAATGCTTATATAAACTGCGTCCAAGGTTTTCCCTGAGATACTAATCCACCATTTGATTAACTCTTGTTTGATATTGGATGCTGACCGACCCCCTTGCAACAGGGACTGAGAGAAGAATGGTATTGGCTAGCAGCTGCGTTTTTGCAGAATGGACACCTGGATGGGAAAGAAGCACAGAAAGCTGCCAATTGTTCTGGAAACGGCAGACCCTTATGCCAAAGTCTCCATAAAAATACCCTTATCTTAGGCACCTGCTTTGGATGCCAGATTTGGGTATTTGAAAGCGTCTTCCCTTCATTTAGCCAGAGGGCTAAGTAAGCCGATTTTGATGTAAAAATCCCATCCTTTGTATGTTTCCAGATTATAGTGTTAGGATCCCTATGGGCCATAGGCTTAGCCTCCTCATGAATGAGGTAGATCCGTTTTCAGGTCGGAGAATCTGTAACCTTGGTTTCTCCCAGGATGCGCTTGCCATAATACTCTTGCATCATTTCTGACCAAATAGATTGACCTCTTCGAAACTCCCACCAAAGTTTCAGAGAAGCAACTTTCTGAATATCCAAAATAGACCTAATTCCCACACCTCCATTTTCAGTTGGCTTGCATAGAACCTTAAGTCGAGCCCAATGGTGCTTCGGTTTATTGTCCACAACACCCCAGAAGAATTTTGCAATTTTCCTGTTAATCAAAGTAACCACCGAAGCATGAAGGCTGGTAACCGCTAAGACATGAATAGGAATAGAATTAAGGACGTGTCTAATGAGGATTAATCTTCCAGCCTGGGAGAGCATCTTCACACGCCAATTTGAAAGTTTTTTGTCAAACACCTCTAGAATTTCCTGGCAATGTGTCACTTTGGTAATTCCCTTGTGAAGTTGGGCTCCTAAATATTTAATCGGTAGCTTGGAAACCTTCATACCCAAATTGTTCTCAAGGTGTAGAATCCTACTCATTTGAGTATGCTTCCCCACAATGAAACAACTTTTATCTTTATTAACTAACTGACCTGTAGCATTTTGATAATCTTGGAGTAAGGCAGAAAAGCTTTTTATAGATTTAATAGTAGCATTCATAAATACCATGAGGTCATCTGCAAAAGCAAGGTGAGAGTAGCTCCCGTGTCTTCCCAACTTGTATCCATCGATAGCTCCAATCTGTAGCAGTCTGTTAACACCTCTAGAAAAGGCCTCAAAGACTATACTAAAAAGCAACGGGGAGAGAGGATCCCCCTGTTTAACTCCACGGAAAGGTTTAAAGAAACCAAACGGTTTGATCAGAACAGAAATAAAAGTTGCTTTAAGGTTCCCCAAAATTAGATGTCTGACTTTATGATCAAACCCAAATCGTTGTAAATTTGCCTCGAGAAAATCCCAATCCACCATGTCGAACTCCTTAGCCATGTCTAACTTCAAAACCATGTTTGAACCCCACACTTTCATGTCCAGATGATGCAACATTTCAGAAGCCATTAGAATTTGGTTTTTAATTTCTCTTTTCTTCATGAAGCCGCACTGCTCTTTAGAAATAATTCTAGGAAGTATAGACGCCATCCTTGAAGCAATAATGTGTGTATTTATCTTACTGATAAATGTAGAGAGACAGATAGGTCTGTAGTCACCAAAGGATGAAGGATTCTTTTTTTTAGGTATTAACACCATATTTACACTACCAATGCATTTAGGTATGTCAAAACCAAGAAAAACTCCTGAACCGCCATAACCACTTCCTTCTTGATAATATCCCAACAGCCCCCGTAAAAATAACCTCCAAACCCATCTGAACCTGGGGCAGCCTCTTTACTCAAATCCCAAATCGCCTCTCTAACTTCCAGTTCCCCTGGGAGCTTAATTAAGCTGTCATTATCTTTCTGTTCCACAATATGAGGTATAACATCCAAAATTTTATCAAAGGAGCTTGTAGGTTCCTTTGCATAGAGTGGAAAAAAATCAACTGCTTCCTGACCAATCTCTTTAGAATCATAGCACCACTCCCCATTGGCTTTTTTAATAACATTAATGTTCCACCTACTAATTTTTTCCTTCACCGAAGCATGAAAGAATTTAGTATTACCATATCCTTCCCGAATCCACTTAATATTTGCCTTTTGCCTCCAGAAATCTCATGTCTTTTAGTGTTAAGTAGCAACTCTGCTTGTTTTTTATAACAATCCGCCCTTGACAATTCTGTTGGCTGTTCTTCATATTCCTTCTCTGCAGCCAAAACTTCTTCTTCCATTTTTCTGACAGTAGCACAAATGTCACCAAATATCTCTCTATTCCAAATCTTCAAATCGCTCTTCAAAGATCGCAGTTTAGCACCAAAACCTCTAATCCCCCTATGGTTGGATACTCCATCCATTTCTTGCTAACAAACGAGAGGAAAGAGTCATTGGTGAACCACATGTTTTGGAAACGGAATTGCCTCGGTCCCTTGTCTGTAGCTAGATTACACAACAATAGTATAGGGTAGTGGTCCGAGGAGGTTTTGCTAAGGTACTGTATTTTAACTGTCTCGAACCTGGAAACAAACACCTGATTCACTAAATACCGATCATGTCTCTCCCACACCCTCCCAGACGATCTCATCTATGTCCAAGTAAAGGACGACCCTTGTGCTGGCAGCTGCAATAGGTCACAACTATCAATACATTCTTGAAAGTCCAGTATGTCATTAATAAGAGGACATGTACGGCCCTTAAATTCCGAGATAAAAGAGACAACATTAAAATCAGTTTAAACCCTAGAGATTCCATGTGAGCAGCTTCATGAGGAAACAATAGTATTAGAATCAGTTTAAACCATCTTAGCGGCCAATCTAGTTTGAACCGCTAATGGAGGATGAACCTCTTTGATTTTTCTCCTTAGAACTACATCCAATGCCTCTGCCTTGTTTGAAAAAATAAGGTCAACCTTTTTTTGAAGCTCAATACACACTTCTTTCCAAGACTCTTTAGTAGCCGCCTCTACTACCGGAATATCTCCTTCCGATACATAACCATTCTGCTCAATAATAACCCGCCCCTCCTCGGCCGTATCACTTCCTTCTTCAAAAGCACTGCTTCATCCACTTTTTCATCCACTTTTTCACCTCCCCTAACAACATCAGATTCCAATGATACAACTTTTGTGGCTTCCCTCTCAGTAATGTGTTCCCCCAAAGATTTCTGACCTGTATTAGAGGCTGCTACCCCTTGATGCTTGTGACTTGTCTCCAAATCTTCCACATGAATTATCTCCATAGAAGTTCATGCCCCCCTCTTAGAAGATTCTGCCTTGTCCATGGTAATGGGAGCTACCATTTTATCCTTTCCTTTATTTTTCTCGGTAACCTGAATCAATTGATCTTGCGGTTGTGATCCTGGCAATCCAATACCCTTAGTCGACGTCATTTTCCCTCCAGTATGTTGTTTGGTAATGTTTTCAATACATTTAGACAACCCACATGCCATTTTATTATGCCCTACTTTATTGCATTTCACACAATATTCTAGTAGATCTTCATAATCAACTGATTGTATGATCTCCTTGCGTCCACTCATAATCAATACCTTAGAGGGTATTTCTTTCAATAAATCCAATTCCACACATACCTTTGTCGTTGATGGCCGAGATAGGTTGGTCGTCGCCGCATCCACTTTGAGAGGCTTACCTACCATTCCCGCAATAGAGAATAATGCTCGTTTGTCATGCAAGTGGAGAGGCAAACCATCAAACGTAATCCAGACAGGAACAACGGAGGACTCTATATCCGGGCAGAAATCCGGGGTCCACCGAGTAATGCGCATTTTGAAATCTTTAATCACCAACCTCTGACGAAGCCAACACCTTTCAAAGTCCTCCTCCGTAGCAAACTTGAGAAGCACATGTTGTTGATCCAACAAGCCTAAGGAGACTGCTCCTTTGAACCCAATTTTGTCAAATTCCTGGCGTAATGTAAGCATTGGAAGTCTTCCTCCAACAAAAGCTCCCACTAACGCATACTTATGTTGAGCAGCCAGGGTGGAAACCTCTTCCTCAGAAAATTGTACTGCCGGCATTCCTTTATGCCTGAAAGGAGCCTTCAATGGGATCTCTTTGTTTTCCGCTAGAACCTCTGCAAATGACCTTGCTGTCGCTCCCGACCCACCGGCCGGAGCAGCCCAAACTGCTACCGAAGCCAAGAAACCCTAAGTCGCCACGATCATGCGCAGAAGCTCTCACTTCTCACTAGTTATAATCGTTGCAATAGTGTATAAAAGACATACATAGTAGTTGACCAACCCCCAATGTAATGTACTTTACATGGTTCAATCAATGTGAAATATTTTTAAAAAGTGTTCTGTAGTTTACATTAAATAATTAAATCAACCAGCACCGGAGACTTCCGCTTTATATGTGGATGTAAATCTTTCTAAATCCACATTTGCTTTACATGTCGGGCTGGAATTGTTCTAAGTCCACATCTCAATAGCTCCCGGCTAGTCTACCGGAACCGAAAGCTTCAACCTTATGTGTTCGATTGAACAAGCACCGAAGGCGCCTGCTTTTGAGTGTTGGGTTGAAATTTGGCTAAGCCCGCATTTTGAGAGCCCCCGGCACATCAACCACCACCGGAGGTTTATGGTTACTTGTTGGGCTAGAAATTTGCTAACACCACATCTTAGCAGCCCCCGGCATATCAACCAGCACCGGAGGCTATCGCTTCATATGTTGGATTGAAGAAATTCTAAAGTCCACATCTACTTCATGTGTTGGGATGGAATTTTTCTAAGTCCACATCACATGCCCCTGGAAGCTTATTGCAGATTTACAACACGAAGGCATGACATGGAAATTGATAGAGTATATCTAGAGAGAAGTGAGAGCTAGAGAGAGAAGTGCAATAATATGCTTCAATAGAATGATTTCGTCACCCTATAACTACTCCCAAGGGGAGTATTTATAGAGAAAATTAGGGTTGGGCTCCCAAGTCTTGGGCTTGGGAGGCCCATCTACAACTGGACCGCTACTGGGCCGAATACAAAGCCACTAATGGGCTGTACAAATGAGTAAGTATAAAATCTGATTCTGGGAGGTCTTCTTGGCCGACGAGGGTGCGGCCGACGAGGGCACGGCCGACGAGGGCACGGCCGACGCGGGCACCCGGGTTCCTTGGGCTCAGGGCCATAATCCGAGTTGGCCCCTTTTCGGCCGACGGGGGCGTCTTGGCCGACGAGGGCGCCATTCTGTTGTCTTGAGCTTTCTGTTCTTCCGAGTATGTGGGTCCGGGGGCTCAGACCCATATACTCCATCAGGAGTCCCCCACTCTCTAAGCTGAGATGTAGACGAAGCGAAGGAGAGTAGATTCCTGTGCTTTGTTGCCCTTGGCCGTTAGCCGATGCGGCGTTGGCGTTGTTTCCTCTTTGGTGATCCTGTTCTGTGCTTTGGCCGTTACCTGTTCCTCGCTGTGGGCGGGGAGGCCGTTGTTCACTTGATGTCTTCGTTTTGGGACGATGAGTGTCCTTCTTTCAATGGTGGCCGTTGAAGGCATGTTTTTCTTGGACGCTG